CACCCTCCCCGTCCTGACCAGCGTGGCCTCCTCCTGTTTCACTCGTTCTCAACTCCCCTTTCCCCTTCCGGTTCTCCCCCTAAATCCTCTCTCCCACGTGACCCTAACTCCACCCACTCCCCACGTGACCCAGACTCCGCCCCCCCTCAATCCTTGCTCGCATTACACGTTTAATCTCTCTTACTAGACTTTCACCATCTGACACTGTTTTAGCCCGATGTATGAGCGTCTTGATAAGAGGATTTCTGAGCTGGGTGGTGATGCGAATCTGCATCACAGCCAGTTATGACTTTACCTGGTTAATAACGTCCAGCCAATGATTGCTCAATTTGTACCCATCTTCTCGGTTGTCTCGAAGGTGACAAGCAAATCACCTGGAGATAGTTAGATGTATTTAATTAGAGATACCAAGTGAGCTGAATTAAGTACAGCTGAGGTGGTCTTGCCAGTGAATGGAAGCAAGGTCTCAAACAGAAATCGGGCCAGTTTGAAGGTGGGTGAGTCAATGGTGGAGACAATAGGACGGAGTGGTGTACCTTCTTTATGGATTTTTGGTAAGCCATAAAATCTTGGTGGTCTAGCAGCAACTGTACTTAATTCAGCTCACTTGGTATCTCTAATTAAAGACATCTCACAATCTGTAGATGATTTGCTTGTCAGCTTCGATTTAGCTTCTTTGTTTACCAAAGTTACTGTGCCCAACACCGTTGCAACAAGGACTGAATATGCTGATGTACCAGCCCTGGTGAGAGACTGCCTCACCAACACTTATTTAACCTGGAATGGTACATTCTACAAACAAGTTGAAGGTACCCCAATGGGTTCTCCCTTATCTCCAGTGATAGCCAATGTTTTCATGGAAAGTTTTGAGACAGATGCCATCCAGGCATCCATCCTACGTCCTTCCTTGTGGAAGAGATACGTAGATGACACGTTTCTCATCTGGCCACATGGTCTGCCAGCTCTGAACCAATTCTTCAACCACATCAATTCCATACACCCAGCCATCAAATTCACGATGGAGGTAGAAAAGGATGGCAAGTTACCATTCTTGGATGTTATAATCGAAAAGAGATCAGATGGCTCATTGGGACACTGTGTTGTATATGTCGGGTTATGAAAATTTGATAAAAAAAATAATGAAAATTAAATGAAGATTGGAAAAAGCCACAAATTTCGGAAATTATGCTAATTATACACATAGATTATGCTAATCATGGATATGCATGCATTACTTTATGAGAATACTTGTGATTATGCTAATGTAGGCAGTTATGATAATTAAGCTTAGCTTCGCTGCCCAGAGTCGTATTAATCGGGATAGAACAATTATCTTTGATTAAATATTTATTGATTACATCCTAGTGTGTTATGTTAGGTCTCCAAATGCATGTCTCAACGCAGGACACAGTTCTTATAAATAAGATTGTTATGCATGAACTTAGGAAAGAAACACTCAAACACTTCTGTGTTAAGCAATTTTTATTCTAAACGAAAACATGACACTCTCATATGCGAACTCTCATGCTTGGAATTATAATTTCCCTCTGTGAGCAACACATTTAACCATCAATGATTGCTTGTTTCACTTTGGCAACCACACATATCATTAATTCCACCGCGTAACGAGCATAACAGGCATGCAACGATAGTCATACGAAAGGCAATAAGCAAATTATTATATTCCGAAGGCAAAGTATACGTCAATAGATTCATCGGCAAGATTATATTTTTAACGAAATGTCTCGGAACAATGGTGTGCGACGGCGTGCGTGTCCTCTTTATGGGAGATTCATATCTCTGGCTAAGCTTTAACTAATTCGTGGACAGGTTTTATGACAAAGAAAGAGGTTTAACACGATACTCTCTCTGTGAGCGTGTAGATTCGTGACGAAGGTTTCAAAAGTTTAGTTTACATCGATTAATCTATTGGTCGTTTATGCGATAAAAAAAACCGAAAGAAAACAAAATTAAAAAGAACCAAGGCACTTATAAACGACGTATTCTAATCACTCGATGAGTCGCGATGCCTTCACGGCCAGCTGATGGTTCATGTAATTTTATAATTAGTCTTCTGATAATTGGCTAGGGTTGATTCGATTGTGTGGGTGGGATGGATAGTCTCTTTGATAAGTTCTTGTGTGAGTCCTGGGATGTAGATGTGTGCGTGTGTGGGTTTATGAGTGGGGGTGGGGTGGGGATACCAACAGCTTCGGAGAATTTCCCTCTCGCTCGGGCGTGGCTGCAGTGAGCCGCTGGCTTTCTCTCTCTGCAGCTAGATGAGCTGCGTCGGCACAAAGTTGTCCTTGAAGAGGCTCGGTCGCTCGTGTTGGTGGTGCCCGGTGCTTGGCGGCGCTCGTTCACTCGTGCGCTGGTGGCTAGCACCTTTGTGCTCTTGGCAGTGGGTGACGCGGCTGTGCGCGCTCTCCGGCTCCAGTTGCTCTGGCGATGAACGATGCTCTCGTTCGGTGATGGCAGAAGCTGGGCGCTTTCGCTATTTCACGAGTGATAACTGGAATCTTCGCCAGTCTCACTCCATTGTAGCGGCTCGGTGTCGCGATACTTCTTCGGTTAGGGTTGAGCTCGCACTGAGTAGCAGGTGCTACTCAGCGAGCACCGCCATCCTTGGTGTGTGGCGGAGTCTTCTTCTTCGGTGGTGATGATGATCGTCAGATAGCGCGCGCAACTCACCCGCTGCTGGATGTCTTGGTTCCCAGCTGGTGCTGGTCGATATGTGGTCGAACACACGGCGCATTCGATGGCGCTCTCCTCTTCCTCACGGGCGGCCGGTCAGGCTCTTTCCCCTGTTGGATGACGGGTCGACAGGACGCTCGCCACTTGTCCGCTGATGGCTGACACCCTTCAGTCGGTGTTTTGCGTTTCTACCCTTCCTCGCGAGAGTCATAACTGGAATTCCGCCAGCTTCACTTGCACTTAACCACACATCGTCACTACTTTCTGAGAGAAACGACACCCATGGTTGGTGTCGGTGGCTGCTCCCTCGCGACGGCACCACAAGCCTGAGCAAGGCTGAAAACCAGACTGAACTGCGTGATGTGCGTTTGTGCTTAAACAAAAACGTGAAACCCCCTCCCCTCTCTCTCTGTTAACAAAAAGTCCAACTTTTCTTTGATGTCGCTGGCTGTGGGGAGGGGGGGGGGGAGTTGTCCGTGTGTGCGTGTGTTTTATTGAGACATCTGTTAAATCTCCTTCCCCAAACCCTCTTTTCATCCGTGGAACACAGATGCCCAACCTGCAATAAAACTTTTTGTGAAAGCCACTTCTCTTGCTCTGGGCGTTACCTTCTTTGTTATCCCGTGTTGCGGGAAGACAAAGACGGGTGTGAGGCTCTCTTCCTATGGAGTACATTACATCTTGGTTAGGTATGACTGACTTATTTCGCCTTCAATTCTTCTAGATGACCCTTTGTCTACAACTCGTACTTATTATTTTTTGTTTGTGTTTTTATTCAAGATTGGTGATTTAGCATTATTATTACCACATATTTTCATAGGGTTTGCTAACCTTCGCTTCACTGCCTGTATCCTAGGTTGCGCTGTTTGTTCTCGAGTTATTATTATTATTTGATATCCCGAGGCGAGAGAATTCATTTTGGCTTAGGAATGACCCTGACTGCCATAATAATTATTATTTTATTGATCAGGTCGCGTAGAGAATTAAAGGTAACCATAACATTAGTATTGAATTAATAAGAGTCATGATCCACTGGTGTAGATTGTAGCCTGGTTTTTTTTATTGGAGTGTGAGGATAGATAATGTTCACTAAGTTTTGAAACTTTGTTAATTAAAATAACCCACAAAACCAGTCTGTTCGGTTTTCGCCATCCTGCTTGTGTGCGCAGCTTTGAAGTCCGTGTTACAACACCCCCCTCTCTCTGTCCTTCGTACGGGGAGGGGTTTATCTTTCATGGTTTGTCTCCAGCCTTTTGTTGCGAGCGTGTCACTGCAGCTGCTCGAAAAGGGGGGGGGGGGGGGAGTTCGTTGTTTGCACTTCCGAGTGACTATGTATGAATTTTTGGAAAAAGGGGCATAAATACAATTGCCTACAGGAAAGCCACCCACACGGACGCCTATCTAAAACCTGACTCCCACCACCATCCAGCCCAGAATTCCCTCATCAAACCTCTACACCATAGGGCTCATTGCATTTCTTCCATCACCACCTAGCCAGTGAACTGGAGCACCTACACCAAGCCGAGATGAATGGATATTCGGACTACACAATCCGTAAAGCTATCACTCCAACCGTTGGGAGAGGACCATCTGAGGACCCAATCAAAACCATCACCTTGCCATACATAGCAGGGGTTACCAAAAATATTTCCAAAATCATAAGCAAATATATGATCCAGGTTCGATTTAACACAGTACGTAAAATTCGTGATCTGATCCCATCTGTGAAGGATGTGATCACTGACATGCAATACCCCGGTGTCTACAAACGAAGCTGTGGTGGCGGCAGTAGTTACATTGGGGAAACTAAGCGACATGTCTCGGACCGTGTTCGTGAACATAATGCAGATCTGAAACATGGTAGGACCAATACCTCGGCCGTGGCTGATCAGTTTTAATGCTGTGGGCACACCCAAAATTGATTTCTCCAAAACGAAGGTTCTCTGCAAACCTCCTGGCTATCAACAAAGATTCGTTCAGGAAGCCATCCAGATATATAAACAGACAAAATTTCAATCGAGATGGGTACAAACTGAGCAATCATTAGAAGGACATTATTAACCAGTTCAAGTCATAACTGGCTGTGATGTTTCCATCCTACCTGCCGATGTGAGCAGTTATTTTCGACATTCTTGAGTTGCATTCTTCGATGTTGTGGCTACATTGACATGCTAATCTCTCACAATACAATGGCCAGCCCAACGGCTTTGGGGTGCCCTCGACCTTCCTTTCTAAACCCGCCCACTTACCCTTGGGTTGCACCCATTTTAGGCCTATGTAACACCCTTCTTCAGCAGCTCTCTTGCTATATTTCTTCACCTGAGGACGATTGCTTGTGTTGCGATCAAAACGTCGTGGTTTTTAAAAAAATTCAATATACGTTACTTTACCGAAAGACCCGAAGAGTATGAATTCCTGCAGTCACGAAGGCTTTAAGTCAATGGAAAATGTGTAGTTTCATAAATCAAGCAAATTTATGGAATTATCTAAATGTATGCAATTATACAAATTAGGCTCAGCTTCTTTGCCCAGGGTGTATTACCAATCGTGATAATACAATGATTCTCGCTTTAACTTTTACTGATTATGACTTAGTGTAATTCTATCAGGTCTCAGAATTCAGATCTTAACAGTTCTTATAATTAAGATTATTTAGCATGAACTTAGGAAGGAACCACTCAGACTCTTCTATGTTAAGCAACTTTAATATCTAAAAACACTCTAATATGCGAATACACTTATGATCGGAATTGTCAATACCGTACTCCTGAAGATGTCCTACTCATTAATCTGTACAATGAACCCTCAATTGTAAGGTTTGTTAAAACTAAGTAACAGAACAATCGGCTAACTCCTCCGAGTAGCGCAACCATACACGGCGATAGGAAAAGTCCGTACATGTTTTACAATATTCATATAAAACATGCTAAAGAAACATGTGCCCAATGGCAAACAGTAGATATCAATGAATTCATGGTAAGATTATGCAAGTAACAAAATGTCCTCAAACAATAGTGTGAGTGCTAGCGTGCCTGTTTGGCTAACAGATGCTTATCAATTGGCTAATGGGACATCAATTAATTTGCGGGAAAGATCAGAATAAAAATCTCAACACAATAGTATTCCTGTGAGTGTGTAGATTCGTAACATAGATGCTTCGTGTGTCATCAATGAATTCATTGGTAAGGTTATGCAATTAACAAAAACAAATTACTAAAATGCTTCTAAACGACCGTATTCATGTAACTCAAGGGACAGAACAATTCTTTTCACGATTAACTAATAGTTAACGCACCACCTTGGGATGGCAACCCTTTTCGAAACAAAAATAACTTTTTGGAACATTATTAGTACCAATATGAGCGTTGTGTGTGTGGGTGTGTTATCTTCTTGCGGCAAAAACCCCCTACATTCTCGTGATGCCGAAGGGCAACGCTGTGGTGGGCAATGCCGTGGGGGGGAGGGCCAGTTTAGATTGGTCTTTCCCCTCATGGCGTGTGTAACCACCACAGCGGCTAAATGGGGGCTCTGGACGAGTGCGAGGGGCTGTAAACCCCTCCACCTTCAATGAATTACCACAAAACCACGTATAAAATATCTAATTAATAAGCTTGTGCCGGAGGCCCCGGGGGGACAGGCATCTATGACATCTCCTGGCCAAACCCCATTTGGCGGAGCCAGGAGATTGAATCTTGACCCTCGGGGCTCCTCCAGAAACAACAAAAAGCTACTACGGATGGCCACGTGGAATGTTTGAATGTTCACTGCGTAGGAGAGGCTGCCACTCCTCTATCGGGAGCTGGACCGATGCTGCCTGGATCTCTGTGCTGTGGTATTCAGGAGGTCTGGTGGACTGGCTCAGGCTCCTGCCACCATGAGGGTGTGGACAGCCCTCTACTCGGGGCAGGAAACTACCAAACAACAGGGAGTGGCTCTTCTTCTGAAAAGAATGAAGGGGGCGTGGGAACGTGGCGGTGAGGTGTGGGAAGCGGTAAGCCCCAGAATACTTTGGGCTCGCCTTCAAATCAACCAGAGGCGAGGAGTGGTGGTCATAGTTACTTATGCCCCCACCGAAGACAAACATCCATGGAGGGATGCAGGCAAGGCCGATGAGTCAGATGCCTTTTATGACCTCCTGTCACAGGTGCTAGCTAAAGTGGCCCCTCGGGATAGAGTCATCCTGTTGGGAGACTTCAATGCCTGAGTTGGTCATGATACTGGCACTTGGCCTGGAGTGATTGTAAGGCATAATTACCAACATGATGTGTGGATGTGCCGGAATCGGCACATCCACACATCATGGATGCATGCCAGGTTCAAGCAAGAACACCTGCTGGACTACGTAGTGATGGAACAGCGGATGCGGGCCCATGTCCTTGAGACCAGGACCTACCATGGAGCTGATCTGCCCACTGACCATCGACTTGTCATCTGTAAGATGTGTCTGCCATTCTTCCACTCCGGTGCTGGGTGAACACCCAGGACCCCATTAAAGCCTAAAGTGGCCTGGTCTCAGCTAGCTGATGAAAGTTGCAAGCGAGAATTTAATCATCGCTTGCGGCTGGGGTTGGCATCGTACCCCAATCCTCCAGATGTCGAGGGTAAATGGGCGAGGTTTAGGACTGTGACTCATGCAGCTGCAATGGCTGCTTTGGGTACACGGTCCAGAACTCCCCATAGACCCTGGCTGACAGAGGAGGTGTTCAAGCTGGCTGAGAAAAAGCGACAGGCCCACTCTAATCAGTTGCAGCATCTCACGTCAGAGAATAAGGAGGCTTACCACAGCCTTCGTTTGAAGTTTCCTAGAGCCGTGAGGCGCTGCAAGGATGGTTGATGGTAGCAGGTTGCTAAGGAGATGGAGTCTGCCTCAATAGGCTCGCGATCATAAATCACTATTTAACTCCATCAAAAAAGTAACCTGCAATGTCACACCTTTTACCATCATTTGGGGGAAAGACGGTGATCCAATCTCCGACCCCCAGGAATAAGTTTGCAGATTTGCTGAGCATTTCTGTGAAGTCCTGGGGGAGAAAATCCCTCAGCATGGAAAACATCGTGGGACAAAGTGGGGATGACCCTGCTGAGGCTGCGGTGTCTCAAATGTTGGAAGAAGAAGTAACCCCCTGTGAGTGTCTGGCTGAGGTGCGATCTTTTGAGGAAGTCCTAAAGACGATCCAGAGTCTGAGACCAGGAAAGGCACCGGTCAGAGATGATCTCCCAAGCGAAATGCTGAGGGAGGGTAGCGTTTGTGCACAGACATGACATCATAACAACAGTCTGGACCACTGGATGGGTTCTGCAGGATTGGAAGGATGCCCTGGTGGTCCCCCTCTTTCAGAAGGGGGACCACACAGACTGTAACAACATCTCACTTCTCAGTGTGCCGGGAAAGGTCCTGGTAAGGATTATTCAACATCGCTTTGCCAGACACGCTGAGGAGAGGCTTGCGGAGCAACAATGCGGTTTCAGGAAAGGGCGGTCCTGCACAGATGCCGTATTTTCTGTCCGGAGGGAATTCCAACGAGACCCACATCTCTGCTTTATTGACCTGGTCAAGGCCTGATACCATCAGTAGGCCTGGGCTCTGGGTTGTTCTTCGTGCTTTTGGAGTCCCTGACCCTCTGCTCACAATCATTAAGGACCTTCATGAAGGTGAGCAGGCCCGGGTAAAACTTTGTGGCTGGGAATCGGAGCCATTCCCCGTTTTCACCTTGGGGTGCGACAGGAATGTCCTCTGGCTTCCACATTATTTTACATATTTTTCGACCACGTAGTTCATGAAGCTTTTGATGGCTGTACCAGAGGAATTTCCATCTGGTGCAGATACAATGGGAGGCTGATCGATGCCCGGGTGCGGTCAAGGGATGGCTCCCTATTGGTCAACCAGGTTATGTATGCCGATGATCTGGTAATTGCCACTCACTCAGAGGAGTTGGAGGCGCCGCTGCTGAGCCTGGAGCGTGCCACTAATAGGTGGGGCCTTACTATCAGCCCCAACAAAACTAGACACCTGCCTGGGTATTTTGTACCATCAAGCACTCAACCCACACAACTTACAATCAGTGATGGGGCAGTTGTGGAGAGAGTGGAGAGTTTCCCATATCTGGGCAGTGTGCTCATGACCAGCTCCGGTTTAACAATGGAGGTCTCCAAATCAGTCGAGCGGCATTATGTTTTCATCGGCTGCGTAACGCTGTGTGGAAGCTACCTGATCTGTCGCTTCCCACGAAGCTTCAGGTCTTCTCGGACACGGTCATTCCCTCCCTTCTCTATGCTTGCGAAACGTGAACCCCCCTAATGGAGAAACTTCGCCGGTTAGAAACATTTAGGCTGGCCTGCTAAAGATCCATCCTGGGTTTAACCAGGCTGGATTGTGTGAGGAGCTCACAAATCCTTGAAAGATCTGGACAAAGTCCCATCGGCGAGCTCCTCCGGCAGGCAAGGCTGCGTTGGCTGGGTCATGTAGCCCATCGGCGAGCTCCTCCGGCAGGCAAGCAGCGTTCACAGCACTCACGTTGCAGTTTGGAATTATTGCGTGGTATTTGATATATTAGGAGGCACCCCTTTGCATACATAATTTACTGCTACCATGTGCTGTTAGCTACTCGAAGACGAAGGCGGTTGGTGAGGCTCTGATCCCGTGGAATACATTATATTGATCAGGTGAGATTGACATATTTCGCATTGTATCTCTTCTGAATGACACTAGGTCTAACACTTTCATAATTATTATTTGGTTCATGCTTAACCAAGATTCGTGGTATACCATAGTTGTTACCAAGAATATTCCGAGGGTTGTATAATGTTTGTTCCCCATCTGTATCGCTAGGGATCCGTGCTTCTCATTCTCAAGTTATATTTTGATATCCTGAGGTTGAAGATTTAAGCTTCGGACTTATTGTTGTATTTTGGGTGAATTTTGCTGACCAAGGGAGGTTCGTGCCCCCTGCTGTTTCCGTCTCATGTTTGTTTTATTGTGGGTTGTTTCCTTTATGGCGGCCTTCTCTTGAAGTCAACTGGGGATTTCTCGCAGAATCCCATTAGCCCCCCTTTGGGTTTGCCAGTTTTTTATATTACATTTTATGACTTCCCAAGCAGGCTTGTGAGTAATTATCCTCCAGCTGTCTTTTGTGTGGCAAGGCAAGAGGCAGCGACGAGGACTCACCCTTTCCGTGCCCCAGCGCTACATCCCGATCAAAATTATTCCAAAAAAAGTCTGAATCACTTTCAATATATATTTTTGGAAAGTCATATATACCACATTCTCTTCGAGTGTTTGTGATAAGATATGATACAAAACTCCGAGTTGATGAGGCGATTAAGCAAGCACCATATAAATGCTAAAATTATTATTATTATAACATAGTGAATGCTTGGGAGCTTATTGGCTCCCGCTCCTAGTTAGAGTTCTACCCAACCCACAGGTCCGCAAATACTGGTCGCTCTTACTCTGCAAGTTGAACGTAGAAATGGAGTGTTCAACTTCACGTTGTTTTCATTAAAGGCCTGTGCCAAAGGTGAATCTACTGGGGCTTCATTGTCTCAAGCTTACACATCCACAGGGTCTCCATTTGACTTTGTATTGTCTAAGAAGTCCACCCACACCTCCACTTCGACAAACTGCTGAGAGTTGCCTCGCTCTGCCTCACAGTCAGAATGTTCCTCCTTCTTCACGTTGCCTCTATGGAAGTGAAGGTCCGATTTTGGAGTTGAATCTACATCTTCACATTTCACCTTCACTTCTTCGCTCTTCACTGTCGCCTCTTCAAATTTCACCTTGATACATTTCATAGTGTCCAAGCTGGAATTCACTTCTGGTTCTTTTTTCAGGAGGGATGGGCTCATTAATGTACTTTGACTTTCACAAGTCGATTTCAGACTACACTCCTTGGGGATCTTCTGATGCCTGTGTGTTCTCTGGTGTCGATGAAAATGTCGTGACTGTGCAAATGCCTTCCCACACACACTGCACATTAAGAGTTTATCTCCTGTGTGTATTCTCTGGTGTATTTTAAGATAAAATGAACTTGCAAATGCCTTCCCACACACACTGCACTTAAAGGGTTTCTCTCCTGTGTGTGTTCTCTGGTGGCCCTGAAGAACTGATGACTGTGCAAATGCCTTCTCACACACAGTGCACTTAAAGGGTTTCTCTCCTGTGTGTGTTCTATGGTGTTTCTTAAGATTTGATGACTGTGAAAATGCCTTCTCACACACAGTGCACTTGAAATGTTTCTCTCCTGTGTGTGGTCTATGGTGTTTTTTAAGATAAGATGACTGTGCAAACTCCTTACCATACAGAGTGCACCTGAAGGGTTTCACTCCTGTGTGTGTTCTCTGGTGTATTTTAAGATAAAATAAAAATGAAAATGCCTTATCGCACACACTGCACTTGAAGGGTTTCTCTCCTGTGTGTGTTCTCTGGTGTATTTTAAGATTTGATGAATCTGAAAATGCCTTCCTACACACACAGCACTTGCAAGGTTTCTCTCCAGTGTGTATTCTATGGTGTTTTTTAAGATGTGATTCATCTGAAAATGCCTTCCTACACACACTGCACTTGAAGAGTTTCTCTCCTGTGTGTGTTCTCTGGTGCCTTTGAAGATATGATGACCGTGTGAACACCTTTCCGCACACAGTGCACTTGAAGGGTTTCTCTCCAGTGTGTGTTCTTTGGTGTTTTTGAAGATCTGATGACTTTGCAAACGCTTTATCGCACCAAAGGCACCTGAAGGGTTTCTCTCCCATGTGTGTTCTCTGGTGCCGTTTAAGAGGAAATGAACCTGAAAACACCTTCCCACACAAACTGCACTTGAAAGGTTTATCTTCTGTGTGTGTTCTCTCGTGGATCTGAAGACCTGATGACCATGCAAATGCCTTCTCACACACAGTGCACTTGAAAGCTTTCTCTCCTGTGTGCATTCTCTGATGTATTTTAAGATGCGATGAATCTGCAAAGGGCTTCCCGCACAGAGTACACCTGAAGGGTTTCTCTCCTGTGTGTATTCTCTGGTGCATTTTAAAACAAAATGAACTTGAAAATGTCTTCTCACACAAACTGCATTTGAAAGGTTTCTCTCCTGTGTGTATTCTCTGGTGGATCTGAAGACCTGATAACCATGCAAATGCCTTCTCACACACAGTGCACTTGAAATGTTTCTCTTCTGTGTGCGTTCTCTGATGTATTTTAAGATGTGATGACTCTGCAAATGCCTTCTCACACACAGTGCACTTGAAGTGTTTTTCTCCTGTGTGTGTTCGCTGGTGGCTCTGAAGAACTGATGACTGTGCAAATGCCTTCTCACACACAGTGCACTTGAAATGTTTTTCACCTGTGTGTGTTCTATGGTGTTTTTTCAGATGTGATGACTGTGCAAATGCCTTATCACACACAGTGCACTTGAAATGTTTCTCTCCTGTGTGTGTTCTATGGTGTTTTTTAAGAGTTGATGACTGTGCGAATGCCTTCTCACACACACTGCACTTGAAGGGTTTCTCTCCTGTGTGTGTTCTTTGGTGTTTTTCAAGAACTGATGACTGTGCAAATGCCTTCTCACAGACAGTGCACTTGAAAGGTTTCTCTCCTGTGTGCGTTCTCTGGTGTTCTTTAAGATGTGATGACACTGCAAAGGGCTTCCCGCACAGAGTGCACCTGAAGGGTTTCTCTCCTGTGTGTGTTCTCTGGTGCATTTTAAAACAAAATGAACTTGAAAATGTCTTCTCACACAAACTGCATTTGAAAGGTTTCTCTCCTGTGTGTATTCTCTGGTGGATCTGAAGACCTGATAACCATGCAAATGCCTTCTCACACACAGTGCACTTGAAATGTTTCTCTTCTGTGTGCGTTCTCTGATGTATTTTAAGATGTGATGACTCTGCAAATGCCTTCTCACACACAGTGCACTTGAAGGGTTTTTCTCCTGTGTGTGTTCGCTGGTGGCTCTGAAGAACTGATGACTGTGCAAATGCCTTCTCACACACAGTGCACTTGAAATGTTTCTCACCTGTGTGTGTTCTATGGTGTTTTTTCAGATGTGATGACTGCGCAAATGCCTTATCACACACAGTGCACTTGAAATGTTTCTCTCCTGTGTGTGTTCTATGGTGTTTTTTAAGATTTGATGACTGTGCGAATGCCTTCTCACACACACTGCACTTGAAGGGTTTCTCTCCTGTGTGTGTTCTTTGGTGTTTTTCAAGATCTGATGACCATGCAAATGCCTTCTCACAGACAGTGCACTTGAAAGGTTTCTCTCCTGTGTGCGTTCTCTGGTGTTCTTTAAGATGTGATGACACTGCAAAGGGCTTCCCGCACAGAGTGCACCTGAAGGGTTTCTCTCCCGTGTGTGTTCTCTGGTGTCTTTTAAGGGCGGATGAGTCTGAAAATGCCTTCCCACACACACCACATCTGAAGGGTTTCTCTCCTGTGTGTGTTCTCTGGTGTTTTTTAAGAACAGATGAATCTGAATATGCCTTCCCACACACACTACACCTGAAGGGTTTCTCTCCCGTGTGTGTTCTTCGGTGTTTTTGAAGAACTGATGACCATGCAAATGCCTTCTCACACACAGTGCACTTGAAGGGTTTCTCTCCTGTTTGAGTTCTCTGGTGCCGTGTCACACTTCCAGTACAATCCATGCTGTTTGCATCCTGGTCCCATTGTCTTTTTGTACCGGGCTGCGCTGAGTGCCTTTGCTCCATCAGGCCAATTCTGCTGAGGAAGCATCAGAAGAAGTGTCAGCTGCAGACAAAAAAAAATATCCACACCATCTACATCAGTATTGAGGCACAGAGGAATACATATATATACATAGTCACACATGACTTACACGTCTATATTTATTCATATATTCAAGATATTCCCCAATTCATCACACGGGCTGTTAAGGCACACAATGAGAGGGCAAATGCATATAATTATACCTGGAGGCCCTAGTATCTTCAAAATAAATATTAATCCAAAACACCAAGCACACCATTTCGGCTGCCTGGCTACAAATGCAATATTTATAAAAGCAAAATTCAGCTAACATAGCAAGGGCTGTTGAAAATAATACTATTTGTATTATGCGTAAAGTGCATAAATTAATGTTCAATCGCAACTTAAGAGGTGTGAAGCCAGGCTCAGCCAGGCTCAGATTTGCTTGAATGCTTGGATGAACAGATCTAACTTCAGCAGCATATATGCTGTGTTAATTTCCTGACTGTTTCCATTCTTATAAAAAATTGTTTTGATTTAACCTCCATGTTCAATAGTTAATATACTTTACTGCAAATACAAACTTGACACTGTCACACACTGGCATGGGACAAAGGTGGTCGTGTGTCCAGAACCATGCCTGGCCACCTTCATCTGCTCCGTATTAATGCTTCCTCACTTCACCATGTAATTAATTTAAGATCAATCAACATAGCAGAGGACCACAATAAGTTCAGATTTCACTTATCAATCATGTTTGCTGTCGGCGATAATCAAACTAATTGTTGAGTTCATAATGCTGTGAAATAACTGCGCCACAGCTCCCCACAAAGATAAACTCTTAAATACACATACATTTCACATGGATCATTACATCTTACCTATGCAAGTCATTTTTGTCTGTCCGTCGGTTTGTGGACGAAACTTGACGGATTTGACTCACGAACCGTGGGGTTTACTTTTAAATAAGTACGCGGGCACCATGCGATAAGCCCCGTGGTGAGACAGAGCTATTCGTATTTCGCGTCCGTCAACTTTAAAGTAGTAAAATTCACTATTTAGTATTAGAAAAGGTTTTCCAATTTTTTCTGGCAACAACACGGGTGTTAAGATTTTTCGATTTAAAGCTTTCGTGACTGCAGGGATTCATCTTCTTGGTTCTTTCGGTAAAGTCACGTAGAAGGGAAATAATAAACGTGACTTTACCGAAAGAACCAAGAAGGGTGTTAAGATGTTAAAACACCAAACTGAAGCCTTTTGCAAGGAATCATGTCTGCATTAACCACATATACTTGTAGTCAAATGCAAAAAAACATGGTCTGATAGTATATGCATTGTCTTTGAAATTGATTGGTCCACACCAGAGACAGTTTTCTTTTGAGCCTAGTCTCAAACAGTGTTAGACCAGAGGATGCCAAAAGGCGAAGGAGGCCCCATGATATAACAATTTAGTACTATTAATTATTATATTACTACGCTGAGCACGCACCAAAGCACACATCTGCGCATGTGCGAGACAGCTGACCCGTGGTTGCCCCTAGCAATGCACACATGCTAACGGTGGAGGGGGAAATTTTTCATTCGCGTTCAAAATGAAAAAAAGAATACACAGGACTGAGGTAAAATTTTCACATTGTGATGTCCCCCCTCCACCCCAAGTTTGCAATTACTACTATAGAGTCGGTTGATGATACTACTATAGTCCATAGATAACGACTGTAGAGTGGGCAGGGGGATGGTGGGAGAGGGGGGGGGGTAGCAGCCAGGCCCCAGCCTGCCAAGGTGCCACCTTGGCTAGCTGGGTAATCTAGGCGAGGCCGGGGCCCCTGCATGGGACTAGGCCTAACCACGGCACTGTTAAGTCAGTACTATATTCTTGGTTCTTTCGGTAAAGTCACATAAATAGAAACATATTAATAAAAAAATAAGTGAATGAAAAGAGAAATAGGAAAAATAAGAAAAAATCTAGATTTGAATATAGAGTCGGTTGATTCCCTCCACCATCCGGCACAGAATAATTCCCTCATCAAAACACTACACCATACGGCCCACTGCATATCTGACCAACACCACCTAGCCAGTGAACTAGAACACGTACACCAGGCCCTCAAGATGAATGGGTACTCGGACCGCATTATTCGCAAAGCTGTTTCTCCAACCATGACGAAACAACCCCCTGAGATGCCGATCAAAACTATCACGTTACCATACATAGCAGACGTTACCAAAAATATTTCCAAAATCTTAAACAAACACAAGATCCAGGTCCCATTCAGTACAGTACACAAAATCCGTGATCTAATCCCATCTGTGAAGGATGTCATTCCTGACATGCAATTTTCCGGAGTCTACAAACTAAGTTGCACTTGTAGTGCGTGTTACATTGGGGAAAGGACACGACACATCTTGGACCGTGTTCGCGAGCACAAGTTAGATCTGAAACACGGCATAACTAATATCTCCGCCACGGCTGACCATTGCTATAACGCTGTGGGCTCTCATGATAGTTTTTTTCCGAGACCAAGGTACTCTGCAAACCTTCAGGCTACTATCCAAGGTTTGTTTATGAAACCATCCAGATATATAAATGTAGATATAACTTCAACCGAGACGATGAATACAAATTGAGCAATCATTGGAAGGATGTTATTAACCAGGTAAAACCTTAACTGCTCTATGGTGTTGCCTTCATATCCGCATCTCCAGTTTCTTCAGCCTCCCACTCTCAGCCCCGCTCACTTCCCCCCCTCCCTGCTCGCCCTACCCCACAACCCCCTCTCTATCTCTCTTCACTGGCTCCTCCCCCCTCTCTTACCTATATAGCCCTCTTGTCACAGCAGCACTCCTGCCCACTTCAGCAATTGTTTCTTGCTGTGGTTGTCCCACCTGATGACTGACGCTTGTGTTGCGCCCGAAATGTCGTGATTTAATTTATTTTATACCTACATGACTTCACTGAAAGAACCAAAGAATAATATAAAAATAATAAACAAAAAACCAACAATGTAGATAGGCCTGGTTCTTAATCGAAGTTAAGTGTACTGGCAGTCTATAATGTAGACTATGGTTAGGGCCAGCCTAGCTCTAATCTCAGAGAGAATAAGATTGCTCTGATTTGAACTTGATAATTTAGATAAGACTCTCTTACAATCACAGATAAAATATCCACATCTGATTGGGACCATGTAGATAACATGACAGTTTCTTCAGCTACTTCAATGTCAACTAAATGTAAAGTTAACTTGATTACTAAATTCAACCTCCTGTCAAAAAAGAAGCCAGATCCACACGTTAAAAAGTTAGATGTTAACAAGATTGTCATCAATCAGAGTAACATCCCAATTTCCGACAGCCTAAAATCAGTACTAGCTAAAGGGTTGAATTTCGCAGTCTCCCCTAAACACATCCCAGTGTGTCATATCATTGCCCAAAGGTTTGGGACATCCCGGCAGACATTGCAAGATCTGAAATCACTACTATCCTCAAAAACGCTAAGAAACCTGTTAACAACATCAGCAAGGACGAGCATTTTGAACTCGCTCAATTAAAAAAGAGAGATGACATTGTCATCCTCTCAGCCGACAAAGGCAATGCCACTGTCATCATGGATAAAACCACTTATAACAACAAAATGCAGGACCTTCTTAATGATGGCAGCTATACCAAAATCAATAGAGATCCCACCAATCGCCTCGCCATGAAAACCAACAATATCATCACTAATCCGACTTCTCTAATCGAACCGACCAAGCAGCTCTCTCTAAAACCTTCAGGTGCTAGACTACCCAGATTTTATGGCCTTCCAAAAATCCACAAAGTAGGTACCCTGCTCCGCCCTATCGTCTTCACCATTAACTCACCCACCTACAAACTGGCCCGATTTCTGTCTGAGACCCTGCTTCCTTTCATGGGCAAGACCACCTGAGCTGTATTTAACTCAGCTCACTTGGTTTCTCTAATCAAGGACATCTCAATGTCTCCAAATGATTTGCTTGTCAGTTTCGATGCAGACTCCCTGTTCACCAAGGTACCTGTACCTGACACCATTGCAATCATTGAAGACTTGGTCCAACAGTGACTTAATCCAGATGTACCAATTTTGGTGAGGCACTGGCTTACCAACACTTACTTCACCTGTAATGGTACATTCTACAAACAAAATAAGGGTACCCCAATGGGTTTTATCTTGCTACTACAGCCAGTACACACTGCGATAAAGTTAGTATAGCTACTACTACAGCCAGTACACACTGCTATAGAGTTAGTATATCTACTACTACAGCCAGTACACACTGCTATAGAGTTAGTATAGCTACTACTACGGCCAGTACACACTGCTATATAGTTAGTATATCTACTACTACGGCCAGTACACACTGGTATAGAGTTAGTATATCTACTACTTCGGCCAGTACACACTGATATAGAGTTGGTATAGCTACTACTATGGCCAGTACACACTGCTATAGAGTTAGTATAGCTACTATTACAGCCGGTACACACTGATATACAGATAGTATAGCTACTACTACAGTCAATACACACTGCTATATGGTATAGCTAATACTACAACCAGTACACACTGCTATAGAGTTAGTATAGCCATTACAGACAGTACACATTGCTATAGAGTTAGTATAGCTACTACTACAACTAGTACGTACTGCTATAGTTAGTATAGCTACTACTACAGCTAGTACATACCACTGTAGTGATAGTAGCTACTACTACGGCCAGTACACACTGCTATAGAGTTAGTATAGCTACTACTACAGCTAGTAGAACTGCTATAGTTAGTATAGCTACTAGAGCTAGTAGTACTGCTATAGTTAGTATAGCTACTACTACAGCTAGTACATACCACTGTAGTGATAGTAGCTAGTACTACAGCCAGTACATACTACTGTAGTGATAGTAGCTACTACGACAGCCAATACATACTACTGTAGTAATAGTAGCTACTACTACACCCAGTACATACTACTGTAGTGATAGTAGCTACTACTACAGCCAGT